AAAAAGTGGCGACCACTTCGATTTAATGTATCAATAGTACTATATGATGATCTGATACAACCATGGATAGTGGAGTGGCTGATTTAAGTGCTCTTTTAACAGAATGCGAATCGATAAATAATGGTTTAGAAATCTGTCGTGTAAACTATCGATTGATTTTCTAAGATCATTGTATGTTTCATTGAATGTTGTTTGTTCTAACATTATTTCATCACATGATGTAATCAAATTCTAAAAATAATGAAAATAGTCGATAAATGTTCAGAGGAATATTTTGTCCTTCTAAATCTACGTGAAGATTTCCATGTAAAATGTTACATTTTTTTTGACTTTCATGAATAATCATCAATGTGGGAACATCATCAATTTTATTCTCATTTAGTTTTGAAATAATATTATCCAATTTTTGTCGACAATCCATACAATCATTTTGTAATTGCTAGAGAAAAACAAAACAAAAAAACAAATCACATAAAACAAATTTTTTGCAATTTTTAATGAGAAACGAACAATTAGTTGATCTTTTTTGCATTAATTTTTCATCAATAGACTGTTTTAATGTAAATGTATCAATTGAATGTTCAATAATATCAAGTGAATTTTGAATATTTTTTATGGATTGTTATAATTCATTTAATATTGTCTGTACTAGTTTACAATCGTTTGATATTTTATTTACATTTCTAGAACATCGTGTAGTCTCATCCTGAAATAATAACAATAAAATCGAATTATAATTACTCATTACATGTTTATTAATCTTACTTTAATTATATTTAGTTTATCTAATAATGAATTTTTTACTACTGTAGATAGTTCACTATGTAATACGTTTAAAACTATACTATCTAATTTTGTAATCAATTCTTTAAGCCGACTAAGATGTTCCTAGAAAAAATAATAATAGGATAATATCTAATCGGATAGAAGAGCAAAAAAGTCTATATTAATACGTCAAATGTAGTTGATATGTGTTGAAGATAAACGGCTGTTTTGGATTTTTCATTTGAATATGTTTGCATTCTTACAGAACACGAATTATTTAATGTTTGACTTGTTTGTTGTAAAACATCACTATCTTTTGAAAATTGTTGAACCATATAGAGTGCATTCAATGTTTTCTAATAAAGATAAATTAGAGTCAGTCATAGTTAAGAACAATAAAATGTTTTTTAACATACTTGTAAAGTTGTTTTTAATGGGACAATATTGACCACGATTGTGTAATGATTCTTCATTATTACCAGTTACTAATGTTAGCATACGTTTGTTCAATTGATCATCAGTACTAACTGCTGATATTAAATCATGTTGTAATTGTCGTACACGATTTTCTAAACTATTAAAACCATCGTATGTACTCAATTGTTGATCAAATGTTTGAAACTGATTTTCAATCTGTTTTAATGTTTGTTCAACGGTTGTCTGTCTAATTGCTATTGTATGATATTCTTCGTTTTGTTCAGTTATTTTAGACTAATTGTAATAGAAAATTATAGGTTTATTTTCTTCTTCTTTTAGTAAAGAGTAAATGTACTTTTGATCATCAAACATCTTTGGATACAAATGATCATCAAATTTTCCAGCATGCATCTCACATTTTTATTTCTCAATAAAAGTATAATGTACAACACAAACATATTCATTGAAATTTTAATCAAATGAACAATAAAGCTGTGCTAACTTTCTTGGAACGCCCTTTTGCTTTTCGTTTGCCTAATGGTTGAATACGTATTTTATCGCTAACATGATAGAAGTTAAATAAAATTGCTAATCCAACAGAATGTTTACACGAATATACTAATAATGGTACAACAAGCCAACAGAATTGTTACCACGCCAGAACACCATTGAATATATGTCATCGACAAGAATGCCTAGCCAGCAATACATTCAATAGTTTTCTCGTGTGGCAACAATTCTGTTGGCTTATTGTATCATTATTAGTATATTCGTGTAAACATTCTGTTAGATTAGCAATTTTATTTAACTTCTATCAAGTTAGCGATAAAATACGTGTTCAACCATTAGGCAAACGAAAAGCAAAAGGGCGTTCCAAGAAAGTTAGCACAGCTTTATTGTTA